CCAGCCAGCCCCTCCCCCACGCCTGCTCCCCCAGCCTGCACTGACCCCAGCGAGCCCCTCCCCCCTCCCGCCTGCTCCCCCAGCCTGCACTAGCTTCCCATGGTTTGCATTCATGTTTGCAAGCTAAGGATGGCCCCATTCCAGCCAGGCTGCCCCAGTGAGATAAGGTCCCCACTATGCTGGATGCAGCACTGCAGGGTGGGTGGGGGCCGGCTGTGCACACCCCAGACACACCCTGACAACCTAACTCTGCTCGCCCAGCCTGGCCAGGGCAGCAGGAAAGCAAGGTCTCCTCGGCCTACCAAGTCATCCGCTCACTTCTCAGACAGAGCATTTGGAAAGGGGCATTCAGCTGTGGCTGGGAGAGCTGAGAACAGCGCTCTGTACAGAACTGACGCCAACGGCCGTGTGGCAAGCCTCCCAGCACAAGAACTGAGAGCACTCCCCTGTCATCACTACTGCTGGGAAGTTTCTATTTGTTTAAATTAAGGTAGCTGGACACACACACCATGTTCCCTCTAATTTTTCCCATCCATGCATGGAATACATTTTGTTGCATGCACTGAGGCAGGCGCAAATGTGCACCACCAGTAGAAACAAATGTTGCCGGTTGTGGCCACTGGAGGTGGTCTTCTAATCAGCTGGGCAGCCACCCAAGCACCAGCTTACAGGGAACCCTGCTCCCAGCCCTAGTGGCCTTTCCACAGTCCCTGGCTCTCAGCCTCTCACAACCAGTGCTGCCTCGGTTCCCCAAACTGGCTCACCCTAAGTGGGGGATTTTTAGGAATCATGGAAAAGGCTGCACACTCCCAGCACCACTCTGTTCACCTCCCCCGGCAGCGTTGGGGGTTTTGCTTGTACCCTGGAGGCCCAGTAGCCAAATTAGTACCACTGAGGCAGGAGAGATGCCAGAGGATGGCACCAGAGGATGTAAAGAGGACCGACAGGAGCGGAAGTCCGGCTGAAATCCACTGAGGGGCCTGAAGAAAGAGGCCACCGTGTAGGTAATGAACCTGCCCTGGGAAAGGGGCCTGGCCCACGAATGCTTTTCACAGGCTCCTCCACCTTCATGGCCTCTGATCCGGCTAGCGTCAGCGCAGTGCATCCAGCGGGCTCCTTTCCAAGCCTCCCTCCCGCCACTCCTGGGATGATTTTCACAGAACTCAAGCGGATCCAATTTGGTCAAGATGCCAACATTGAACAGCGACTCCAAAGGCCGCAGCAGGATGGTCTGAACCACACAGATACAGAGCGGCATTTATTTTATGCCCAAAGTGCACCTGAGCGATCCTCCCTATCGGTGACATCAGCTGCAAACCCATCTAGTGTTCAAGGAGAGCCAAACTTAATTCAGGCATATTGTTAATCTGTTCCCACGAATGAGAAAGGCCACTTGCAACTTAAAAAACACGATATAATCGAAAACCAGGTGTAATCGGGAAAGTGTTTTGGGTGGGTTTAACATCAGCTGTGACTAAACCCATAGGAGCCATCTCCCCTGCTCCTTTTTGCACAAAAACCCCCTCCTGAAAAAAACCGGCAGAACGGCTCTTGCACAAAAGGAGGTTTTTACTCATTAAGGATGCAAATGAGGTACAGCGATATTCACCACTTTGCATTTGCATATTTTCTTGCACAAGAGAGCGCACTATAGCAGCAGCCATGGTGTTGTACCCGTCTGGACACCCCTACTTCTGAAGTAAGAATGCTTCTTTGCACTTTAGCTTGTGTTGCTCCTGAAGATGTTTAATCTACACAGAAAAAAGCCACTCAAGGGACTGGACTTGATGACCTCTCACGGCCCCTTCCAGCGCTATGATTCAGAGCTATGATTCTATGAAACCTACAGAAATGTTTCCACAGTAGATTCCAAACAAAACAGCTGTTTACGTGAAAACATTTCCCTGCAGCACTATGGGATATACACAGAAAACCTTCTTGATGGGCTTTTGTTTGGTCAAGATGACAGATTTGCAATAAAATAACGCTCAGTTGGCGTGACAACTCTGATTGTCTGAATTCTCACTGTTTGCCATGCAGAAGGAATTAGTACTATGGGCACAGAGCTGTAACAAAGGCCGTAATTTCACTCTCCTCTTCCTCGTTTTTCTTCCTCCTTGGGGCACAAGGGGCTGTAGTTTCACAGAGTGATTGGGCATCTATAAACCAGTAGGAAAATTTGCCCCTTGCACTCTCCAAACCAGGAGCTGTGTTATTCCCACTGGAAGGAATGGCTAGGCGCTACCGGAGGAAAAGAGGCTACTTCCTCTTTGCAGAATTGTTTCCATTTACAGGAACTTCACAGCCTGCCAACTGATTAGGCTGCAGAATTCACAGACTCTGGAGCAGGAAGAACTTTTTCCCACTGGCCAAGCGTGGCTTATAACGGAGACAGTCCCCGGCCAGCGTGCGTCTGGTGCTCAGCTATGGGACAGGGCTCCCATTAGCACTGCCACACTCTGAAAGGCAGATAAAGAAATCGCACTGGCTTAAGTCATTTATACCTTTACCAGGACCAGCCCTGCCCTAGCAGTTAGTTCCCTACCACGCTTTCACAGGGGAGTCGGCCCAGCGCGTGGTTCAGGCATTATACAGTCCCCCCGCTGCACGCCTGCTGCTGCAGGACTGCCCTAGTTGCACAAGCACGGGGAGCGGGACACAGAATGGCAACCGCAGGAACTCCTGCTGCCAGACTGACCTGATTGTCCTGGGAATCTCTGGGCGCTGCCTCTAGCTCCACCGAAACCACCCGGACAGCTCCCCAACCACAGCCTGGCCGCTGCCTGTCTGCTAGAGCTTGCAGCCAGTGGCACAGGGCCCAGCATCCTACCAGCCCTCTAGAAGAGCACACCAGCCTCGGAGCAGCAGCGCCATCGGGAGACAAGACCTGCTCCTCTCGCGACAGGCTGGTCTGCCCTTTGTGGCGTTTACAGGCCTCCCAAGCCGCCCCCAGCAAAACCCTCTTCTCGCTGCCAGTCACCGTGCCCTGCTGGGTGGCAGAGGGCTCGTAACATCAGGCCCGGGCTGGGCGGGGCAGCCGGAGATCGCGGAGCAGCCCAGCAGGCGTCCTCTGCTGTCCTGAGCTCGTTCTAGTGCCTGCCCTGGGCCGCTCAGCACAGGACCCGTGTAAGGAGACACCGGACGGGCTGGCCCAGAGGAAGGCAGCTGGGGACGTGCGGCACAGCCCAGGTGAGACGCAGCTAACGGAGAGCGGGCGGGTTCCATGGCTCAGCTGCTGCAGCCTGACAATGAAGGGGCAGCTCATACTTGCCAGGGCAGAGTGGGTGACAAGGAGCCTCTTGGCCATTAATACCGTAGGAGCAGACTCTGTTCCGCTGCCCCCAGCCATTCGCCTGGCTGCTGTGAGCCGTCGCCTGCTCTTCCCGCTAGAGCTCCAGCTGCCTGCTCCCCCCAGCAAGGGCCCAATCCCGCCCCTCCACCAAGCCAGAAGGAAACATGCTTCCGACTTCCATGGGCTCCTCGGCCCTCCGGGTCTGAAGGCGGCTGTGCAGCAGCACGCCGGGCCGGCTGCTCCGTGGGCACAGCCCAGAAAACAAAGCCGATTCCAAGACAAGCGGCTGCGGACTACACTGGCAGGGCCCAGGGTTTATTTCCATGCTGAGGGGCACTTCCCCCCAAAGTCACATGTGAAAACAAAACAAACTTAAGATTTGGCTCCCGCACGCCCATCGGCGCTGCCCCGGGGCGCAGGCTCTTCAGACCCCTTCATCCCTCACACACTGGGATTTGGTGAAGACAGTGACATGATTGCTAGAGAGCCGCTGCGCCCGGAAAACAGAGAAGCCCAAATGAAATCCAACCCAGCCTTTCCGCTCAGACCCCCGCACCCTCTGGCCAACCGCGGGCTAAACGCAGGAGCCCTGCTTGCTCGGACACGACGACTCGCCCGACGGGCAGGACGTCTAATACTCATCCAGAGTGTCTGCCCGCGGGATGGAGAGACCCCGCTCCTTGAGCGCCTGCACTTTCAGCTTCTCCGACTCCTGCTTGGCTTGCTGCTCCACGCGCTGCTCCTCCAGGATCTCCTCGATGGACACCTGCTGCAGCGGCGTGTCGCTCTCCTTCTCCAGGTCCTGCGAGAGACACGCCGGTCAGGGCTGTCGGAGGGAGGGAGGGAGCGAGCAGCGAGGTCGGAGGCTCTGCCCCACCGCAGGGGACGGAACAGAAAGCGCTTCATGCAGCGCTGCCCGGCCCACAGGCGGTGTGTTAACAGCCCTGCTCAAGAATCCACGTGCCCCGGCCAGCCCCCGCCCCCCGAGACACATCCCAGCGCTGCCCTAGAGGAAGGTGGTCCCGGGAAATCTGACAGTATCGGGCTGCACAAAGGCCGCGAGAGCCCCTGACCCCGGGCACCTGACTGAGCATCCACCTGCGAGCACCTACGAAGAGGTAACGGGGCGGAAGGCCCCTGAGAGCCAGAGCAACTCAGTTCTCACGCCCCCTCTGCGCCCATCCCTGGATGCCCCCCCGCTGCAGGATTAACCCCCCAGCACAAGCCAGGCAGCGTTAGCACTCGCCTCCTCTTAGGCCAAAAGCCACGTGGGAAAGAGCCAGGACTGAAGGGACCATGAAAGCTCAGGCCCCCCCAGCCCTAGGGTCGGCTCTTGGCCTGCACAACGGCACATGCCGCAAGCCAGGGTCCAGGATTCCTTGCGACCGGCTCGCGGCAGGCCTGTCCCAACACGGACAGAGGGGGCGAGCTGCGGCCAGCTGGCGACCGGACCTGCCTCCAGCCTCAGGCTCGCTGGCAGCACCGCTCACATCAAGGGGCTGCAGCCCGGTGGCACCCAAAAGGCTCACTCACGATTTCTCCCAGCAGGACGACGTTCTCGCCTCTCACCACGAAGATGCCTCGAGGGATGTCGCCGTACTTTTTGCCCACATGAATGCGCTCCACCGTCTGGTGCAACACCAGGTTTGCTGCAGCGTTCAAGGGAGGGAGAATACAGGTTTGTGGCTGTGTCCACAGCAAAAGGCAATGGAGCGTCAGCCGCCCCCGCGGGGCAGGTGCAAAAATCAGTCCTGCCCCAGCTGCCCCCGTTTCTCACTTGCTGTGCTGCATCGCACTGGAGGAGCCAACGCCGCCGGGCTAGGTGCTGTCCAGCCCCAATGGGAGGCCGGTCCTGCCTTGAAAAGCTCCCAGACTACGCCTTCCCTACAAGGGATGGCCGGGAAAAGCCCCACTAGCGGAATTAGCTTAGGCCGTTTGGGGGGAAGCCAGGTCAGAACCAGGCACTTGGACTCCGAATTAGAGCATCCCCACAGATAGCGAGGAAGAGTCCATCTGTTCTCATCCACACCCTGCCTTAATCGGAACTAGCCTCACGTGGACACAGGACCTTGAGAGACAAGGCCCTGGCCGGGAGGAGCAAAGTCTGTGCCAGAAGCAGGAACAGAGAATGGATCACCTGACTCTCAGGCTACCCTGCCAGGCACCAGACCCATTGCAACGCAGCGGGATGGGACTCTGGGCTGCCTCCTACAAGCGGCAGCACGGCACAAGTCTAAGACACCAAAGTGCCACGCGAGGGACCTGCCCCCCCACACGCAGCCCAGCCCACGGAGGGCACTGCTCAAGAGGGACGATTCTGTGCTATTCACTTGCACCCCTTCTACGAGCTCTTGCACGTGCTGGTTGGAGGTTCCCCGCATCTTATTTTTCCTGTACTATCAAACTGAACACTCCGTACGTGCAGGGTCAAAGGTGCCTAAGTCAGAAGCCAAAAGGGGAAAACACTGCAAAGGCGAAACGTGTGTGGTTTTAGGTCTGTGAACGTTGAAGGCACCGGTGTTTGTAGAAGCAGTATGAAAACAAACACCGTGCTCCATCTGCAGCACCAATTAAGTGTCACACGGTCCGGGAGCTGTACTAACTCGATTGTTGATTCTGGGGCAAAGACCAAGATGTTTCATCTTAAGTGGCTATTTCAATTGCAGCCGTCCCAGGCTTATTACAATTGTTCATGCAACGTCCACCGAAAGAGAAAAGAGGTCAGCATTTGCCAATTAAAAGTAGGCAAAAAAATTAGTAAGGGAAGAAATCAGCCAGCTTTTATGGGGCTTTAATGAACCATAGAAAGTAAGAACATCCTGACGTGTTCTTTTTTACTTCAGCATAGTTTATTAAAGGCTGGGTTTTTATTACCAATCAAATTTAAATGTACTGCATATATAAAACCCAGTATCTGGTAAGCTAAGTCTTAAACTAGCCTATCTTGAAGCAAACCAGATACTCCCCTGCAGGTAAACACAAGGGGAGAGATTATACAGATAAGAATGTTTGCAATGCCAGGGCTCAGCTATAAGGAGCAGCATGCTTTACAACATAAATGTAGACTTCAAGTCACACCGCTCTCTAGCACCAGTGCTCTTAAGACTTGATTGTTCGGCATTGAGGAAATGTGCAATACTGTTTATGATCAGCACATGACAAAATCAGCACTATGATTCTAGCTTGTGCATCTGTTACCCTCCACAAGATCACACAGGAAACAGATGAAACAGGAAACTCATGAGATCCAAGCATGCTGTGCACAATGAAGTCAGCATATCTTTATCCGAAGGGGAGATTTTCTGTTCCACTGGCTTTTGTTCAGAGATCTTGCAGTAAAATGTTCTCCCAGTTGCGCTCTGTGATCAAGCGTAACGACAGCACCCTCTCTCTCTGCATTCCTACACCCGAGCTCTGCCCATCCTTAAAACCTAGCTATTGCGCAGCAGAATGAACAGCCAACCCTGTATCGAAGCATCATTTGGGTGATCGTGCTGCATTTAAGTCACCAGCCTGGCCCACGTAACCAAACCTAGCACTGAATTTAACCTCAGCCCTCCACCGCTCCCTCATTTCAGCCAAACACACAAACAGGGTCATCTTGGTTGGTGGTCTGCCGGGTCCCATCTGTAGCAGCCCAGACGGAGAGCGATGCAGGGTGGGGGGAGCCAAGAGGGCCTGGCTCTGGCACAGGTCTTGGGTGGGTTATGTCTGCTGGGTGCCTCAGTGAAGTGGGGATAAAGATCATTCCTGGCTAATCTTCCCAGCAGCGCAGTGTCTGCATGGGGCTTTGGCATGGCTGGGTCAAAGGGGGGCTTGCCCTGCATCCCTGCAGGGAGGAGACAGACTCATCTTGATCTCCACGGGCTGCACCTGCAGCCTTCCAGAGACTGCCTTGCCTCCCACCCCCGAGAGTTTCATACTAGGAGCCACTGCAGCTGCAGCACACCTGGCGATTCTCTCTGCCAGGGCTGGACCCAGAGGGAGGGGCAGCGTGAAGAGATCTCGACTCACAGCTGGGCAAAGCAGGGATGTGCATGGTGTAAGATCTCTGCCACGTGCCTCCCCCCCGCCCCGAGTCACCGTCCCGCACTGCAGCACCTACTCTGCTCTGTTTTCACCAGCGTCATGCAGACTGACAGGTTTCAGAGAGGTGGCTGCATTAGTCTGTTCCAGCCAAACTGGCCATCCACTCAGCTCCTCTCGGCTCTCAGAGCACTGTTTGGGAGGTGCCTGGCTCCCCCTAGGGGTGAGTCAAGGTCTTTAAACCAGGGGTCTGCAACCTGTGGCTCTCAAGCCAAATCTGGCTCAGCATGGAACCAAATCCGGCTCGTGTCAGTCCCAAAACACATGCCACTTTTCACATTAAAATGAAAAATGAATTCAAAATTTTAAAAATGCGCCGTGACTCGTGTAGCTTGAATGCGGCATGAACCTGAACGTGACCAGTTGTGATGTAAACATCAAAGAAATGTGCGAAAAGACGCAGCAGCAGAAACCCCATTGAATAAGTCTGGGAGTACGAGGTTTCATTTATGCTCTGATTGAGCCTCATGTCAATTATCAGTATCATGAAGTCGAATATTTTCAGTCAGGTAGACAGGCATTGTGATGCGGCTCTTTGTTGGCCGCTTGTTCTGAGTGTTGATGTCGTTTGGCTCTTCGGTTTGAAAAGATTGCCGACCCCTGGTTTAAAATGATAAAACATTTTCACCGATTTTGAAACGAGAAGCCTTTCCAGAGCTATTGAGTTCTGACGTGCAAAGGTCTTTGCAATCAAGAAGGGGAGTGGAACATACCAAAAGGGGGCTAGGGAATGTCTGAGCAGAGAGGGAGAATTAAAAGTCAAACACACAATGAAATAGCCTCCTTTGCCCCTCTCCAGCATTGAGAACAGCAGCCACTGTAACATCTGTCAGCAAATACCTCCAAGCAGCAGCACCATGGAGACCAACGCTGATTACTAGCAATAACCTGTCCTCACCTCAGGGACTGGCTTCGGCAACTGTAACTTTTCCAAGATGACTTCTATTTGCCTCAGGCCAAAGGCTTGTGACACACATGCATTACCCATGGAACAGCAGCTTTCAGCACTGTCTGCTGAAGAACTATAAACAGTGGATTTATGGTAGCTGCATCTAAAAATATGATCCATGGATGTGGACACCTGCAAATATAAAGTGGACATCTACAGATTTGTAGGGGTCCAGATACAAAGTTTGCATCCAAATCCATAACACTGAGCAGTGGATATTTGCAGATGCAGATACGCATGGATATAAAGCCAATAACTGTGGATTTGCAGGGTTCTATGCATGAGGCAGAGACGGTTTAGACTAAGAACGAGGCCACTTGCTCACGTACCAAACTGATCGATGCTCCGTAAATATCCTATTAGTGTTCTACCATCTCGAAGGAGGACCAAGTGTTTTTCTGGAAGAGATATTAAATCAGCACCCGCCGGACACACCGCATGATCCCCACTGGCCAAAATGGATCCAACCTTCCGTTTTGGGGCAGGGTAGGTCCCCAGAGCCAGGACTGGGGGGAAGTGGCCAGGCTCAGCCTGAGGAAGGGTCAGACATGGGGCCTGCCAACATTGCTATGGGAACAGTCTGTGCGGGCCCACGGCTGCACCCCGACAGGGAGGGGTGGCAGGGCCCAGGCTGGTGTGGCCCCAGGGCTAGGGTTGCCAGGTGTCCAGGATCGGCCCAGACAGTCCGGTATTTGCGGCTTCTGTTTTGTTAAAAAAAAACAACCAGAAAATAGGGAACATGTTCTCGGCGGGAAGGCCGCTGGGGACATGCTTCATTCTCCCCCTGCCATGCCTGGTGGGGGCGGAGGGGATTGAAAGGCGCAGTCGCTCCTTTTTGGTGCCTTTTTTAAAATTGTTTTTGCTCAACCAATTTTTTCCCCGCACCAGTGGGGAGAGGGGTGCGGGAACGGGGCCGAGGAAGCGGCAGGACCTGCGCGGGAGTCGGGAGGGGGGGCTCACGGAGCCCAGTGGAAGGGGGCTGAGGAGAAGGGGGCCGCCGGGAAA